ATATATATATATATATATATATATATATATATATATATATATATATATATATATATATATATATATATAGTTGTAAATAAAAGCGTCCGACCACACATTCATCCATCAAACATTTACATTTTTCATCCATCAAGCATTTACGTGTAAATTGATGTTTTTAAAGGTGGTTTCACGTTACGTCATCGCCGCCATGCTGGTGGACGGTAAACAAAAGATCGCTCATTAGCTCGCTATGTTTGTCCACCAGCATTTGTTCATTTCACCATTGTTATTTGTGTCTCCCGAGATTGCTTGAAAACCACCTATGGACTGGTATCTCAGAATTATTTCATATTCCAATAACATTTTTATTACAAAGGATAATTTTTAATTGCATTTGCAGACAACGATTACAGTGTCACGGTAACGCGAATTTGAAAAAGAATACTGCAATTTCACAAACAGGTGCGCGCTCGTCACATGCATTATAAAGGAACAGTGTATTTTATTTATGTATTTATTTTTTTTGAAATGTGATTTTGCAGTTCCCGCTTGTTTTCTTCATTTTGGTTCATTGACCGTTACAATGTTCTGTCGTGCGGTAATTAAACGGGTTGCTGTTTATATGATAACAGAATGACTTTCATTCCGGATTGAGTTTCGTTCCAGAGTGAAGTTCGCACTGCCTTCACATGATAAAACCGAACGGCTCAGCCAGGGCGTTATCGCTCGCGTGGTTTTCGCGCCACATCAGATGCTCATGCGCTACTCGCTTCAGACTACACGATTTGGTGATTTTCAGTTTACATGATACCAGAATAAAATTTCGTACCAGAACGAGAGTATCATTCGGAATGAACCGGAATGAACTCGTTCCAGAATGACTTGTACGGGAACGAACTGTCGTTTCGGTACTTTGTAAACATATACAGAGAAAAATATGGAGATGGAATGAACTCATTCAAGAATGAAAGTCTTTCCGGTATCATGTGAACAGCCCCTAAGCCTGCATTAATCTACGCGTGTCAGCGAACGCGTTTCGCGGCGACGATAGTATCGATACACCGCTGCTATAAATGTGTTTATTTTTTTTTCTGTAAAACCATGGGTCTATGTGTAGTGTACATTCAGTAAAACCCCGCGACTAAGAACCTAGATTTTTTTAGTTAGCCTAAACAGGTTCTTATATAAAAGGTAGTTAGCCCAAGTTTAGGCTGCTGAGCCTCTTAAATAGGTCCTTATTTTCTGAAGAAAAAAATACAATATAGCTAAGAGTATTTAGAGGTTCGGCTTATTCCTCATATATAATCTGCATACCAAATCAGAGGTTATGTAAAGATGATCATAAAAAGAAGAACTGAAGCATTGATCTCAAGAATGTTGAAGTCCTACTTCAGAACATAACATGCATTTATTGTAATTGTAATATATAGATGTATCAATAACAATTTTATGTGATTTTAAACGTCGGCATTTCCATTGCAGTTGGACTGATAAAGCACCTATGTCTCCAAAGAGTGTTCTGGATGTTGACTTGTCGTATTTGCCCAAGTGTAGAGAATGTTTTCATAGATTTTAGAAAATAAGAACCTGTTTCAAATGTTAGGCTAAACAGGTTCTTATATAGAGGGGGCTTAACTGGCGAATTTTAGCCAACAGGTTGTTAAAATCCAGGTCCTCAGTCGCGGGGTTTTCCTGTACTCTTAAAGAGAGAAAATTGTTTGTATAATCGCACTATCATTAAAATGTCCACTAAAGAAAGGTTACTTGACTCGTTGAACGTACTCGATCAATCAGTCAACAAAGGCTGCCCTCGAATAAACGCCACCCCCTTGAGAAGATGGACTGTTCACAGTCCCCTATTTTCCGTAAGATCGTCGAGACCGAGCACTTTGCGTCACGGGCGGCCATATTGGATGTGTGTCAAATCTATTTAGGGGAAGGGACGTTCCCGACGCCCTCTCCCTCGGGTACATATGAAACCAAGATGGCCGCCAGTACCGGTGAGAGCTCGATCCTGACGACCTAACGAAAAAATAGGGGACTGTCTAATCAGAAAAAAATGCGACGTTTATTTGAGGATTATTAGAAAAAAACGCCTTACCCTTTGTAACCAACACCATCCAGACAATTACTATTCTCTCTCGGCGAAAAAGCGAGTCATTGGAACTTTAAACAAAATTTCTGTTTAACATTACCTTATACAAATGATTTATCGTAATTTTTGCCATTGATTTGAAAAATGTAATTTTGAAATAAACCCCGTTTCGAAAACGCTGAAAATTTGATAAACGGCACAGCGTTTAATCGAATAGATACAGCAAATAGGCCAGTTTCTTATTATCAGAATTCATGCTTTGCTCCGAGGCTGAGGGGTGTAGAAAAAAAGAAATCGCACTGAGTTTTATGGATGAATATAGTTGAACCTCCATGTGCGACCACCTCTCGTAAGCGACTACCTATTCAAAACCCCAATTTTTTACTCAGTCAGAGCCCTGTATTTGGAACCTTTCGTAAACAACCACCTCTTGTAAGCGACCGCCACCACGACCACGTTTCGGGCTGACGATTTAATAATTTTCCATGTAAGGGACTATTTGACGCTGTATGTAGTTTCCTATTTAGAGTATGAGAGAAACTCTTATCAACAACGTGGAACTACACATATTGCAATTTAGAAACCGCACGCCATAAATTATCTTCCATAAAAAAGTATAAGACAGACATCTTCACGGAAGCAACCCCCCGTGGTTCGATTCTTGTAAACGACCACCTCTTAATCTTCGCATTTTGGGTGGCCGCTTACCGGAGGTTCGACTGTAATTTTTTTTTTCTGTTCTATACCTCTCAACCTTGGAGCCAGCCAAGTATAGATTACTTGTCTCTTGATTTACAAGTTTCAACCAATAATCAGCATTTATCTTGTTTGTGCTACATGTAAAGCCTTTATACACATTCCTTTGCTTCGATTGGACATTATTTTATATTCTGCATTTTAGATTTTACAATATTGCATTTTTAAGCCCAATTTCACATGTTGTTATCATATTGCATTTTTACATAAACTGTTTTCTTCGAGGTGTGAGATATTTGTTACTCACGAAGTTATCTCCTTTGTTTGCAGCCTCGACAGAAATAAAGATATGCGAGACATACTAGGCACTGCCAAGTCAATCAAGGAAATGAAGGAAATATGCAGCACGTTAAAAGACAGAACTCTGGTATGCGATCAGGGCTGAAAAAGTCCCGTAGTAGTAGTAGTAGTTATTCTTCCTAGGCAAGTAACTTTTAAAGCTCACTTACCCAATGAGCAAGGGTCCAGGCAAGTCATTCTCTAATAAAATCATCATACTGAGACTAGCAGGAGGTGGCCCTGGGCAAGAGAAATATGAAGGCTGCCTGTCCAAAGGACAAGCTGGAATTCAATTTTTTTTTCGTGCCCTGGTAATGTTGTAACCATAGTAAGATAGTTCATATTAAATGCTCTATTTATAGTGAAAGTGTTTTGAGCTTTCCCGCTTGCTTACAGGCACTTTCCTGCTTAAGTAATTAGTAACAAATAATCCAAGCCACTCGAACATAGCAGAAAAACACAACGGCTAGGCGGCAACCAGTATAGAGAATATGTAAAGATTTTCCCCCATAGGTATTTTAAATGGGGCCCAAGGGACCCAAGGGGGTTCTGAAGTCGAGGTGGGGGTTGCTCTGCCTTTGCGCATGGCGCGTCTCGTATGTGCTTCTGCGGTCCGTCGGTTTTCTGCCGCACGGGCCGCAGTAGTGACTTTGTTACGCACGGTAGGACAGTCCTGGGCAGGTAACCTCCAAGTGCTGGGGTTGATATTCAGGTCTACGAGGGAATCTTTGAGGCAGTCTTTGAAACGTTTCGTCTACCTGCCGTCCCCAACCGAGCATTTGCCCTGACAGAGTTCTACGTACAGTAGTTGCTTTGGCATGGTGGTCAGGCATTCTGGCGACATGGCCTGCCCATCAAGCCTGGGCTTTCTGTCGGAGGGTGTGAACACTGGTGATGCCGGTCCTTTCTGAGCCCTCTGTATCAGGAAGGTTGTCCTGTAATCTAATGTGGAGAACTCTGCGGAGGCAGCTCAGGTGGAAATGGTTGAGCAGCTTGGCGTGTCTGCTGTAGACAGTCCAGGTCTTGCAGGTCTTGCAGGCGTAAAGGAACGTGGTCGATATCACTGCAAGGTAGACCTTCAGCTAAGTAAAGAGGCTGATGTCCCTCCACTCCCAGACATTCTTACAGAGGCTTCCGAAGGCGCCGCTGGCCTTAGCCATCCTGTTGTTGACTAAGCATCGATGTGCACCACTCTATAGGATGTACTACCCAGATAGGTGAAGTTTTCAACTGCCTGTAGGTGTTGCCCCTTAACCGTAATATGTGATTCCTGGTAAGGCTTTCCAGATGCAAGCTGATACATGACTTCAGTTTTTTGGGTGCTGATGGTAAGACCGAAGCTGTCACAGCCTTGTATAAACAGTGCATTTCGTGCTACATCATCTGCTCTGTGCTGGCGTTGAGGGCACAGTCATCAGCAAACAAGAAGTCTCTGATGACAGTCTCCTTCACCTTTGGAACAGCCTTCAGGCGCCTAAGGTTGAACAGCCCGCCATTAGTCCTGTATCTGCCCGGTATTCCAACCTAGCAGTCATGGAAGGTACAAGTCACCATGGTGGAGAATACTGTACTGAAGAGCGTCTGAGCGAGAACACAGCCTTGTTTCACGCCGTTCATCACTGGAAAGGCTTCTGAATGGTCTCTTCATCATGCAATCATGAAACTATCGGACGATCATTGTGATCTCGCTCGGACAGCCAAACTTCTCAATTATCTTTCCAAGCCGTCTCTGCTCAGGTCAACGAAGGTCCCAAAGAAGTCGCTGTTGGCTTTTTTCCTGGAGCTGGCGTGCAGCAAATATCATGTCGGCAGATCCACGTTCTGAGCGGAAACCACACTGGCTTTCTGGAAGGAAACACTGAGCAAGATGTTGGATGAGGGGGTTGAGCAGGATGCGGGTCAAGATCTTGCCAGCAAAGCAAAGGGGAGAAATACCTTGGTGATTACCACAAGACTGGCGATTGCCTTTCCTTTGGACTATGCTGGCATCTTTTAGCTGTTGTGGGACCTTTCCTATACTCTACATAGACTGGAATAGCTCTGTCAGTTTCTCGGCATCATGGTTGCGCCACTTGCTTTGTACACCTCAGCAGGGATTGTGGCGCTTTGGCAGTTTCATTGCCTTTCGGAATTCTTGTTCTGTGGGCAGATTGTCAAGGTCCTGATTGCCTTGCCATTGATTTGAGCAGGATGGTTGAGGACCTGATTCAAGCGTTCAGCCTATCTCTCCAAGATATGCTTCTTGTCAGTCAGCAGTTGAGTTCCATCTGCACTGAGAAGGGGAGAGGAGCCAGAATACTGTGGTCCATAAACAGTCTTCAAGGCATCATAGGAGCGCTTGGTGCCATGGCTGTCTGCGTAACTCTGGATTTCACTGGCGTTCTTGCCATACTATGTGTCCCCTATTACACAGAACTTCACTTGCATCTTTTGTTTAGCGTTTACAAAGGCATCTTTCCTTGCTTGTAACGGGAGTTCATTCTGAAGTGTTCGGAACCGTTGGTATTTTTCTTACAGCAGTGCCTATACCTCTTCCTCATTTTCATCGAAGCAGTCCTAATTGCTGCGGTTGTTAGTCCGAGGTGTTCACATGCAGTATGGTAGACTGCATCTCTGAAGGCTTCCCACTGCTCTTCGATGTTGTCCTGACCATCCTGGGGTCTGACAGGCAGCCGTCCTTCAAGGTCACTGGAGTAATACTCAGCAACTTGGCTGCTCTTCAGCCTGCCGACATTAAGCTCTTTTGCAATATTTTGTCCTTGGGGTCTTCTTATGGGCGGGATGTGAAGTTTGCGCTTCGCCAGGATGAGTCGATGGTCAGTCCAACAGTCGCACCGCACATGGCCCTTGCCGTTCTCACGTCCTGCCTGTCCCTGTTCCAAGTGATGGCATAGTCAGTCAAATACCAATGTCTAGAGCGTTGGTACATCCAAGATTTCTTGTTACTTATACCCAAAACACAGTGGACGTTTTTATTATATTATGAAGACGGTATATATTGGCTGTAACACAACTCTTGTCGTTAATATCTTGCAGAAAGATATCGAAGAAAATGGGGAACCTGAGTCGACTGTCCTCCCTTATTGGAAATGCCAGCCTTACATTAGGTTTGTATGTACATGCTGTTGTTTTTTTCTCTAGTCTTGGGCAGTAAGCGACACAATATTCCTTACAATATATCTGTGCAATATTTCTTTATTTCTCTTCTCTCTGTTTAATGGTAATGCTCGCTTTTTTCTTCTCTTCAAACAAATTATAAACTGTAATACGACCGTCATCAAATAGAATCGGGAGTACGATGGCCACATTTTGACACTATCCCGAGTTTTAATGTAGTCAGAGAACATGCGCTTGTTTCAAAGAGTAGCACAAAATTACTGGTCACCCAGTGGTTTTCATTGTGGCCCACAAATGAGGACAAAAACAGATATTTGAAATAAACATAATGTTAAGAATCCCAGCTGTCCGGAGACGAACCATACCAGTAGGCTATTTACAAGTGTGGTCGAGTAGTTGAAATTGGGACTACCGAGAACAAAGTCCAGCTAGCAGTTAGGGCAGGGATTGAACTAGGGGCTTCCTATCTAACCGGGCCAAAGTGGCTGCTTCCCGTTGCTCGTAGCTTACATTGAACTGTGGTCCGTAACTACAGGGCAAATTCAGGTATCAAGAGAACTTTGGACGAAGTAAGAGAAGATGAAGAAAGGCACCAGGAAGTGATTAAAATGAGGAAAATGCGAAAAGCTATAAAGAAAGAGAAAGTGCGCGCGCGAAGAGGTAACTGAAACTTTTTCTGTTAGCGTAGTTTGTTACGTTAGAAATATTCGTAACTGTAAAGAAGTTTATCTCTTTCAACCCCAAAAGTGGCCCGGCAAAGACAAAATTCGACAATATTTTCAAAATTTAATTTGGTTAAATGCGAAAGTACCGTCTGGTAGGTTTCATTTTAATCGTCACACCACAGGATTTCTTTCCAAAAGTAAAACCACCTTTCGAGACTCTATCGTTCACTCCTTGAGTGAAAGGGCGACCTGCTTATTGAGTCGGTCACTTTTTTGGCGCCGACATTTTTACAGAAAACTGATAAATAGATTAATAAATGTAAAAACAAATAAATAAATAGTGATCAAGAGGTAGCGCATCCACGAAGTGGTTCTTCGTCCATCTGATTTCTGGTCGAATTTGAATTTGAAAATGTTGGTTTTTGAGGAGAGGGGAAAATCGGAGTACCCAGAGTAAAACCTGTCGTAGCAAGGGAGAGAGCCAACAACAAACTCAACCCACATATCGCGTCGACGCCGGGATTTGAACTCGGGCCACAATGGTGGGAGGCGAGTGCTCTCACCACTGCGCCATCCCTTTCTCCCCAAATGATGTGTACTTACAGTCATGATAATGAATGTTTCGTTTTGTTCAGAAAGGACGTGGGATATCTGTACAAAGTGTGAAGTTAATCCCAAGGTACAGTGAAGTAAACGATGTTAATAATCAATGTTTTTGTATTATAGCTTAGTTTTTTTGTTAGTCTCACGATGAAAACCAGCAGGACCTCCGTTTGAAACGTCGCGATCAATGTCAAAATGACTATTGTAAGGCAAACTATAAACTATCATATCAAAAGTAAAGGATTTTGAAGTCTGCTTTTCTTAAATGCGTTTTTGTTAGATGAACTACCTAGTTTTGTGCAAGGGAATGAATGTGGAGTATGAACACCCATTTCGTGAATTAAAATAACTACTTAAATTTAATTTTCAGGGTTTGAAATGTTTATTCAACTTATGTCGCGTTTGTTGTCGCGACCGCAAGACGACTGACTTCACTCAACACTGCCCAGGTAATATCATCATCATCATCATCATCATCATCATCATCATCATCATCATCATCATCATCATCATCATCATTATCATCATCATCAGAATACGGTCACAGAATACAATCTCAGGCGCATATCTAGTCACCGGCCGAATTTAAACACGAATCGAGTGAAAAACTCCTATTTTAATCGCCTAATCTTTAAATATGACCTAGCTTTGTAATTGGTATTTTGTAAATGAGTTAATAACTTTTAGATTTTTTATTATTTAAATATAATTTAGTTCTGTAATTGTTACAATGTAACTCAGTTCAAAATGGGAAATTTTGTGACATAAGATATGTAGTTTTAATCATATGAATTAAGATTCTTATTATTATTCTTATTCTTCTTCTTATTATTATTAATATTATTTTATCATCATCATCATGTCGTTCAGTTATTGTCATTGTTACTATTCAGAAAACCTGAAAGCAGTAGCTGTGTAGTGTGTTGTTCTCTTAACTTTCTCCAACTTTCCTTATCCCTTTAAGGACATCGAGTTAGAGGAGTTCGCTTAAACGAAGACGACCAGCCCCTTAAGGAAACAAGTAACGGCCTTGAAGTGAAACACGACGACGAAACTATTAAAACAAAGCATGAATCTGCAAGCTGACACAGAACTAAATAGAAAGGTGATGGGTCGTCATATCAAAAAATCAATATTTGGTTTTATTTCATTTTCTAAATTATGCATCTTTGTGCAGCATTTTTAGTGTTCATTCAATCAAATGTATTTTAGGAAGAATGAGGGTCGATTACTTGAGATGGACTCGCTCGGATCGACTTTTAGCCCGATGTTATCTACTGTAAACTAAGCTTAGACTGACTAGCACAAAATCTACCATCAACGGATTCGGCGGGAAGTTGATTTATTTAGAAGTGCACCTTATTCCAAAGTGGTGGCAAATTTACTTACTTTTGTCATCTCTATTATGGAACCTCAATCGAGACAAAGAGGGCTTATTTACATTAATGTGAAACGGTTATTTTTCCCACCAGTGTGGAGAAACGTGTATTGTAGTATTTGTTTGTGTTTAAAAGACTCAGTTGAGTCTCGGCAAACAGCCTCATCCCTGTCAACTCAGCAGCTGTGGATCATGTAGTGGCCTGAAGAACTCCATTAGTTTACTTTCTTGGTCACTCAAACGTTTTTGGAGTGCAGTGAAACCCGAACCTATATTTAGTGATCACCAACTTGTGTCGAAGGGCAAAACGTGGAAATTAAAGAGAGGAAAAAGGAACGCCTAACGTGTTCTAGCGTGCCTTAATTTCCTCAGTTCGTCTACCCACTAAAACGCCTACCACGTAGTCCATGTGGACACGTCCCCGGTGTAATCAGTGAACACTGCCTACCGTCCTTGCCAGGCTTCCGCTTAAAACAGATTGGACTTTAAGCTAAAAGTGTGAAAAATCCAAACTTTATGATTTTGCACTGAAGCCATGTATGCCTTTTACCAAGCAATGCGTTTCTCTTGCCCTCTGATTGGCTGAGTAAAGTGAGTTGCTTCATAGGTAGTTGTTTAATTTTTCCCAAAACAGCCTATTGCAATTCGACAAAACGTTGCCCGTAACCTCCAAAAAGCTAGCACCGTATTACTTTTGAACAACTTTCACCAAGAAACCTTTGACAGAAATATTGCACGTTTACAATTTATTATGATTATAATTTGATTTGACTGCACTACCGCATTCCTTCATTGGATTTTTAGCGTGTTTTTACTCCCCCCCCCCCCCCCCCCCCCTTCCCCGAAAAAAAAAAAAAAGGAAAAACCCCCAAATGAAGGGAAAGTCTTTGAAAAAAGGGGGGTTGGAGGCGTTTGTTTTTCGCCCGCACCCTTTCCTCCCTGACCCCCTGGGAGGGTGTTTTGGCTGCATTTTCTTTCCCTGCCCCCAGTGATGTGGTAACCTTTTTTTATGAGCCCTGGTTTTTTGCACTCGCAGGCTCCCCTTCCCACCCTCTGGGTAAAACTAGCACCCGATTACCTTTGAAACAATTTCACCAAAGAACCTTTTAAAGAAAATTTTCACGTTTAAAATTTATTTATATTTTAAATTTATTTTACTGCCCTCCCGCCTTCCTTCATTTGATTTTTTGCGTGTTTTTTCCCCCCCCCCCCCCCCACCACCCTTCCCCGAAAATAAAGAAACAGGAAAACACCTCATATGAAGGAATAGTACTTGAAAATAGGGGTGTTAGAGGCGTTTGTATTTCGCGCGCGACCTTTGCTCCCTGACGCTCTGGTACGTAGCTTATGCTGCATTTCCTTTCCCTGTCTCAAGTGATCTGGTAACCTATTATGAGAAGCTCTGGTTCTTAGCAGCTCTAAGCTCTCAATCTCATCCTCTGAGTAATTCCCGGATGTACTGCTTTTCCAGTTGTCAACGCATGCGCCGTACATTGACATGTTTGGGGAGTCTAAGAAAGAAGATACTTCCATGTCATCTAAAGTGGAATCTGTTTCTGGGGTAGAAGAGGTCTCAGCATTTTCCTTGTGATCTACAATGTACAAGAGTCGAATTAGAGAAAGAAACTCCATATCTTCTCTCACATAATCCCTTACAACTTTACTTGTCAATGATTCCAGTCTCATAAACAATTGGTCTTGATAGAAAGTGTCTGAAGCACTTATGCTTGAGGCAAGTCGGTGTTGTCCTTCAACCGTTCTTGATGTTCCATCCACGCATTTCTCGTCGATCTTTGGGAACTGTCTTGGAGCTTCCTTCTTTACACTTTCCCGCCATAATTTTATATTTCGTAGCTGTTTTCTCTTTGCCATTCGACGAAATCGGTGCGGTAGGAACGCTAATGTTGAAACAGAAACGTGGGGGTTTTCCCTTGGTTCGTCTTGTTTAAATAGTTCATCGCTGTTATTTTCACATGAACTAGAAGCTGGTATTTTCCCTTTTGATTCATAACCATCTTTTTCCGCGTGGTGTCGACTACCGAGTCCCAAAAGCTCACTCAGTCTTTCGAGGATAAAATCTGCCATCTCAAAATCTTCATGGCATTGCTTGTCGGTGTTTTCCTTGACTTCCTCGTAAGAATCGTTTAAAATGGCGACAAAAAAGTTGACGAAAATGAAGGCGTTAAGCAAAATAAAAGAAAATCCGAACAGTGGTCCAAGAAGGCGGTTTACCCGTATCAAATCGCTTAGTCCCATTTTCCCGCCAAGGCACATAAGGAGCTCGGAGTACAAGGTATTTGTGAACGAAGAGTAACGCTGTATGTCATTTCCCAAGACCAGCTTTCCTAGCTGCGCATACGCAAGAAATACTATGATAAAAATGACCGAGTAAGAAAGCATAAAACTTTTTGACGCCCGCAACGATGTCATCAGAATGCTGATATGACGATTGAATCGAATCATATGTAGAAGTTTTGTGGTGGCTATAAACACTGCAATCGCTAACACTCCGCTCTCCGCATCTTGCCAGTTAATAGCGGCCCGGAAGCTGACTGTAACAAAAGGGTTTTCCTTAACCTTTAAAGCACTTCGAACAAAGAGCTTCGACTTAATGACGTAGAAGATTACAACCAGAAATGATAACGTTATCTGTAAGAGTTCAATCCAATTCCAGACGTCTCGGAAATAGCTGCATCTCTTTCTGAAGATACTGTACACTTCTCGAAGAACAAACAAGAATACTAAGATTATAAACAGCAGCTGACATATCAAATAAAATTGGTAAAAACCGGTCTGAGTACTGGTTAACAAAAGTGTATCGATCCTTTGAAAAGCATTTCCGTAACCAGTTGGTAATATCTCCAGAAAGAAGGTCGAGATGCTAAAGTATCCTGTATTTGGGTTGTAAATGGAAAATTCTACTAGCACCGCGCGGGTTTGTTGGTCGATCCAACCAAATTTATGTGTATTAGAAATAACTGCAACTGCAGAGTCAAAGCTATATCCCAAGTCTGCAACGTAACCTCCTCCGTCGTAAAGCTCAAAGAATCCCCAGCTTGGCGAGTTTTGCAGTTTTTCTTGTGATATATAATTCCACGGGGCTGGACATAAATCAGAAAAGTTTGCCCAATCCACAGATCCAATAAATGGTTGCCACCCTGGAAGATTTAAAGGGGTTCTGTCTTCTTCACTTAAACTGTAGAAGTCGTTGCAGTGTTTTATTACTTTTGTAACCTCTTCTGGAACTAAACAGGAATCTGAAATAGAAAAATAATTTGGATCGAGAGAACATTGTGGCAACTTAAAATTTCTATGTTCACACTTTGTGCCCGAGCACCTCTTCCAGGGTACTGGCATAAAAGGGTTTTGTGTTCACACCAGGGTAACCTATATTTAACTGTATTCGCTTCATTTTTGCCAGACGCCATTGTGAAACGTGAGCATAGCAAGAAGAAATGGGTATGCAAAGGAGTGGACTGCCTTGGAGCTAACAGAATACGCGTGGGACCCGGTGTCCGAGGTCAAGGTTTCGACCTTTGTAGCCAGGGACCAGTACCGTTCCCGAATTCTGGCGTTTGTACTTTCAAGAGGGTGTCGTACTCAAGCAACGTGCCCGGCGGTGCGTTCACACTTGGTTCCTGGGCACTGGTGCCCGAGTACGATACTCGCTGGGCACTAATGTGAACACACCTTTACCCGCGGTAGAATTCGAGTACAAGGCCGAGACGTTGTGCATGGGCACTAAAGTGTGCACGTGTTTTCCGTTGGTTCCGAGGAGTTTTACCCACAGTCAACTTCTTCGCTCCCTTTGCAAAAATGGTGTCTGCTGACGGAGCAAAGTGGACGAAAGACAACTTGGGTACCCAGAGTGTGGGCAAAGCACCATTTTGTACCGTGCCCGAGAATTAGTGCCCTGGCACTAAATGTGAACGCACCCTAATTTGAACACACCCTTTTGTCAAGTACCCACGTTAGAATTCCGGCCCGGTACCGGTGCCCGAGTACAATTTCTCGACCTTCCACTCATCTTTGACACAAAAGTGGTCACCGGGTCCCTGAGTGCAGACCGTTTTTGTTAGTATTGGGGCAGTCCATTACTTTGTACTTGCTGCTAAAGTCATGTTTCAAAATGGCGTCTGACGGGGCGAAATGGAGTAACTATGTACACTGTTAAATATCTGCTACTCAAAGTGTGAACGCAACACAGCTACCCGGTACCCAGGCACTGGTTCCCAAGCACCAAGTGTGGAGAGCCCCATAGCCTCCTTCAGTTATTATTCCATACACGAGGTGTACTATCCAGTACACCTCGTGTAGTCATGCAGCCGCAAAACATCGGAAAATTCACCAGAAAGGCGAAATATCTCAGGACCTTGAGGATGGCCCTTTATGAACTTCGAGTTTTTACGAACTCCAAAAAATTACGCTTCGAATATTTCGAAAAATATACAAATTTGGTAGCTTTCGAAATTTTGGGCAATCCTTTTGAACTGCATTGCAGGATAGATTTTGTGCATGGTACATCTTAAACGTAATTGCCATCCGTTAAATACCAAGGGTTGATAACTTACATGATAGTGGACCAATTTAGACGCCTACAACGGGCGTACATTAAGCTACGAAGCCATATTCATTACGTTTTTTCTATGTCGAGTTTACACCTTCTCCTATCCCAATACAATGTTCTTTGAAGTTGTTTGATCGTCTGGGTTAGCAGGACGCTTCTTAATTAACTATCTCATCGTTCCAAGTCTGTTTAGTGCGTGGTTTATTGATCTGAAGCGACCCAAGCCCACAAAAACGATTGGCCCCGTTTAGGGTGGCGGACGAGACACGCAACGCCTTCTGGGCTATCCGTCTGCCGTATTGTCTCTTTTCGGCGGAGGCGACGAAACGTAAAACTTAATTAAGCCGTGCCCGAGGCAGGCCAATGATAATATCATGCTGATATTTAGTGGGCCATGTTGGCCACTGTCAGCTTTATGATGTAGGGAACTGTCTGTGTTTCTAACCCTCTTAAATTTTAAGTGACTTCAAGTTAGAGCTTATATTTTTGCCAAGCTATCTCGCTTTTCCATGGATGCTTTAAAGCCTCAGCTCTAATGAGTAGTAATGAAATACCTTTCTGAATCCTTAACTGTCTTAGGCGAGGCATTCCAAGGAGAAGGGACATCTTGTCACCAATATACACGTTCTGTTTCACCTTTTCGGCGTTGTACCATTCACTGGCGTAAATACCGCTTACAAACTGCCCTCCAAGCCATTTCCAGAAAAATCTTGGGTCTTTTGCCTAAACAAAAACGTACATTTGATTAATTCTGTCAGGCGTAGTCATACAGTCTTGAACATTAACGCTTGTTAACGAAATACATTATACCACAAAATTAGCTTGTATGAGAGTTCTATCCTCGACAGTGAGAACACGTGAAAGTGCGAGCCCCACATTATTTTTTTGAGGGCTTTCTGCTGGCCGGAAAGTAGTATCTAGTTTGAATCTCTCTAAATCACGTGAATGAACATGTATTAAAATCACTTCCCTGTTCCTATTCGTCCTCGGACGATTAAGTGACATTTATTTCCATTAGCTGCACTTGTCCCGGCCGTCGTCGATGCTAAATCCCTCTTATCCCGAGAGGGAGGGAGAAGTCTCATTATGCCCACCAATGCCCAAGATTTTTTGTTATTTTTAAATCATACATAACGTGCGAAAACAGCCGCCTGCCATCGCTTCCCGTCGTTGCGACGTCGCGTAACTTCTCAGCGACGGGGAGCGATGACGGGGGGCTGTATTCGCAGGCTATGTATGGCAAAACGCGAGCGCCATAAAACAACCTAGTGCCTTCGGACTTTTTTAGTTGGTCATCACTTAATTTCTTTAAGATACTTACCAACGAAAAGTTACTGAAGGTGTCTTTGACGTTTTTAGTCATTAGATAGCCATGGTAACTTCTGTTGCCGTAACATACGATCATCAGTAAGGATAGGAACAACAAATACCCGACCAACTCTCTGCCAAAAGAAAACATTTTTGCTTCCTTCACTCGGTACTCCCGTGCAAGTTTGAGGTCATCTTCGTGTGGAATATCCATCTCAATGCTTTGGAAGCCGTCAGCTTGGATATTTTCAGTGGATAACTGCTGATGTGATTTGATCGAACGGCTGACTTCTTTGGTATCAGTTTTATTACCAAAAAGACACGCTGTAACAATCATAAGAAGCACGATTTTTATAGGCTGCAAAACAAAAATGTCTTCTGTGAAAGAAACAAGCATTGAGGATAACCACTGGTTTGAGATGTCCTTTCCCCATTGCAAACTGTAGAAAAACGTAAACGTTGAAGACAGGGCTATGGTCACAAAACATAGGAACCAAGCGATGTATACACAATAGTGAGGTAACATGAAGTCCTTTTTAAGCATACCGCGCACGCGACTTGTTGTTCTCGTCCAAAAGGTGGTCTTTTGGTGTGAAGTATCATCAGCATCGTTTATCTGGGGTAAACTGCTCACAATGGAATACGTCCGATGTCGCTTAGACACTCGTCGCCTTAGCGGTGTACAGGTAGTAACTTTATTTGAACTTTTCTCAGCGCTGTTTTTGAAAAATGCCATGATCAATAAGTTTACCGGAGTGACTATGAGAGCACTCTGAAGTCCTACTATGATCTGTCTCCAACTGAACTTTAACGGACCAATCTGAATGGTTTGATCGGCTACCTTGTCAGTCCTGTAAAACAGGGCATTAGCCAGCATGGCAGACAGCAAAAGACACAGACAACAAGTCGCTCTTTGGACGCGGGTGAACTTACTTTTAGGTGGCTTGGTAACTACTGACAACCATAAGTGGCCTTCGGAGAAGCTTCTCGAGCCGCGCGCGTTCAACGAGTATTTAAAAGTTTTCATTTCCTCCGCAGGGATAGGAGTAAGAAGTCTTTCGATTTTGCCGTCGCCTTTTTCTAGCGCAAACCAAGTGTTACTATTAAACGTCCATTGTTTTCCTGTTTGATGGTCCTTTACAGTCAAATGACGAAGAAACCACGACGGGTACTTTCCTGAGTTATCATGCCATATTTGGATGTACTGAATCACGCCGAGAGAGTTGGGCATATGAATTACGAATGAGTCTTCGTTTCCTCGCGCTAAAACCGTTCTTGACTTAACCATGTTTTTGTTCAGTACTATGGGTTGGCTTTGTGCCTCGTTACCGTAAATGACAATGGCAACGTTAGCATCTGTCCCAGAATCATTCCATACCCCGGTGGCTACAGTCAGGTCGTATTGAAAGTCTCCTTCGACTAATGAGTTTAAATGCAAGGGAGGGCCAGTCTAAAAGGTAAAAGGGAAAAAAATGTGCATTACACTGTATGTTTCCTTTTACGATTATTTAACCCTTTCACTGCCAGAGTGTTTGATAGAGTTTTGTAAGGTGACTCTAACTTTTGAGTCTGTGGACGGAATCCTATGGTGTGACCATTCAAACGAAAGCTCGCGGCCTGTACTTTCACATGATACTCTTTATTTCTCCCAATTTTAGGGAATGAAATTTGGAAATTTGGTCGAAATTTGCCTTTGGCCACATTTGGCAGTGAAAAGGTTAACAGTTTCGTCACTAATAAATGACTTTATAACGTCAGTTTTGCCTGAAAAGACAGTAGCAAAAACAACGCGACGTCAAATGAGAAGGCGAGGGCGTGCGGAAAAGATTGAACTCGTCTTCCGATGCTTAATTTGCCATTCTACCTTTGGTCAGTTAGGTTTTCAGATCTAACGGAGCTGTGCGTAGTCACTCGTAAAAGTGTCATTGATGAATCTCTGAATGAGCGTAAATCAGTTACAGTAACTATAATTTACATACTCAAATGACTTTTGTTGGCCCTACCTTAGCCCTATCTCGTTTATCTGCTCTTCTTGCAACTATTATCACTAGGATATACAACAACAAAGCAGCAATTATGGTACTAAGTACGGCGATGTTTCCTGTTTCGTGGAGTCGCGTAAGTTCATTGAAGACAACATCAAAATCCAGTGAGTTTGGTTTTACCAGTACTCCTCCGCCGAATGACGTCAGATGGTTGCATAGGCAATACAGCGAGGTCTTGTTAGACTTTGGGCCAACCTTTAAAGGAAAGTAACAACAACGATGTAAAGAACAGCGTTGATTAGTCCACTTCATAGGTGGTGTATAAAATGGTAAAGGGGGGGAGGGATTAAGCGTTACTAGTTCTTCTGACCCTTAAAGCCTGCTTCAAAGGTCTTAACTGTTTCTCACACTCGAATTTTGGAGCGGATTTTGACGCGATGTGAAATGAAGGTGTGAACCGGCAATATCAACTTGTTTCATCACTCTCGAGAGGTAAAGAAGTCAATTTTAAAACTGGTGGGAGGGGATTGGAATAAAGATTAGCTCATTCCTTCCATTTGCAGCTGGCCAGACCACATACGCTAGCTAAAAAAGAACTTAGAACATTACGGAAAAGAGTGATAAATGAAAAGCAATATCATCATCATCGTCTGAGCGTGCTGGTTGCACGGATTGCTCAGGTTCGTTCTAACCATCCGTCTCGATCAGTCATTGCATCGGGTAAGAATTCAACACGCAATTCGCCATCGTCATAATTGCACGTAATTTTTGTATGTCTTGCCTGCACAAGCATGTCCCAGGTTCGGAATCCACAGTATTACATCGCTTGATATTTTATCAGTCGCTGGGACGCGCTTTTTTGGTAACCAACTCTGGCTAGTGTTCGAATGTCATCTATAGAGCCAAACCTACTTCGATGCAAATCAAAAACAAAATTACCTTAAACACTTTTACCTAAACAGTCGCCCCTACTGAAACATCCTCTTAATCGGTGACATGTACAGTGATCTGTTTGAGAGTTTCATAATTGGCGCCTGATTCCTTGTTGGCGACGCCAACAAACAAATATAAACCTTGCGAACTGCACTAACACTCGTGGATATGGTCGCATCTACAGTTAAAAGAGTATAATTTAGCCTGTGGCTGCTGAACTTTGCTGCAGAAAAGTTCTCGCATTTGAGGTAGCAATGTTGTTCTCTTCATCTTCTCTTTCTACCAGTTTACCTTACATCCTCTTGACGACCAGCGCTCCTCTGCGGTGTACCAAAACAGGCATTCTTCCTCAAGAACACTCATTGAGTAATTAATATCTGTCTTCGGGTCATAAACTGGTTTCACTGTAATATTCTCGGGTCTCGGAGGATCCTTAATCTCGACGCATGAACGCTTTTCGCGCCCGCGTTTAAAACAAGAACGTTTCCGGCGTCTTTTGGGCTGTATGTCATCTGTTTCGCTAAGAATACCAATGTAGTAGGTTCCAGGGTCATTTAACACCTCATAATCTAAGAGAATTTCGTAAGCTTCCTCGTTACATTCACCGTCGGAATTCATAGAGCACGATTCATTCGGGATTTTCCTCTTGGCATCGAAGTCTGTAACAGTTGGGCGCTGCCCATATCGTACAAACACACTGAGCACAGCGGATCCTGCTGGTTTGATCTACAATATAAATCAAATACAACTTTATGACATTCTCATCTGTTCTTTATTATAAACGAAGCTATGGGCATATAAATTGGGGTGGGGGCAGATCGAGGGCAGAAACTTGTAATAAGCCCTAGTCGGAATTATGCAAGCTAAGAATGAATTAATTCCTCACAAGATTATGGGACTTAGCTTTTCTATCTCATGTTCCCTTCTTGACTAAAGATGAGCCACATGAATTACAGGAGGCTGCAATCTATGCAAGACGTATTTTCCTCCTAGACTATCTAGAAGTGAGTTTAGACCTATGGCATTACTCACTTTCAGTCTTAAAGCGCTACCATCTGCATAGGGCAGGACGATTGTATGGTACTGCATCTCTCCTCGACTGCTGGGTTTAACGAAGAATGAGTCAACCGACTCTGGTTCTGGCTGCCCGTCTTTTTTAATCTTAATTTCAATATCCTCTTTGCTGTCCTCGACCGTCAAAGATTCTCCTTTATCATCCTTAAGCACCAAGCTGAGAACGTGAGGGCTTACAAAGGCTGAACTGTTGTCCCAAGTAAAAGGATTGAAGCTACTTGCAGTTAGCTGCAAAAAAAGAAAACATGACAATTTTTTTCCGGCAATAGTTCTGGCGGTGGAGTGATCAACTATCAAAGTGGCGTGGGTCTTTTCATAAGAACTGTAAAATATTGTGGGCGTTTTGTTAACTTTCAGCCCCATCAGTCCCATAAGCTTGATTACCTTGTTTTTAATTTGAGTTCTATTTATTTTAGAGGTATATTTTGAACTTTAAAGACACGACATGAAACTAATAATATGGTTTATCTGTACGAAGAAGAAGAAGTTAAAGCTTCTTCTTCATTCAAGCAAGACGACTTACCACTGCGTCAATGAATTCAGCATCTAAGGTTCTTTCGTCAGTGATCGCTGTCAAGGGAAGTTTAAACCCCATGTCATCGTCATCAATATTCTTGTCTTTTGTCAGAGACCTAGGGCTGAGTCTGTTTAACACCAAGTCCAGGGATTTCGTTTTCAGTTTTTTGGGTTCCTGGTCTACAACCATTCTCGACAACAAAGTGGTAGCGACATCATTAACGAGTTTTTCCGTCTTCTTGGATATCTCCTCGCTCTGTAAAATGAAAAAATTGTTACATGTCAGGTGTTGATATAATTTCTTGGGGTTGATGGAAAATAACGGTCGGGGTGTGCGGCACGTTTCTAAAACCCTTACCAGCCTATTTTAAACCGTAATGGGTGATTCCTCCATGTTGATAGAGAGAACGTACCCAATTCTACACCCTGATACCTGAGAGCAGAAAACCTTAACCTTTTTCAGGCCCAGATTCATGGTTTATCACCTCTACCAAATATTCAGACCAAAGGATATCAAAAACCTCATCTTTTGGCGCCGCACATACCTATGTCGCTTACACAAGAGATTCAGTAGTATAGCAGGGACCGAATTGTTCGTTTTTTCTACATCTCATAAGTATAATGCAGAGGAATCTCGTTGAGATCAGATCATGTGCTATTTTAGGAGGTTTCACCCTTTGGATAGGTTTTTTAGTTATTTCTAGGTCTATGAATGTCTTGCCTTTTGATTGGTTGACTAAACGTCAAGAAAACTATTTATTGGTTGGTTCATGTTGTCTAAGGAATAAGCGCTAACGCACCTGTGACTTAATGTCACTGAGTCGTAACGTAATTATTCAAGTTCTATTTCCTTCCGCTTTCATTATCGAACAAGTTGTTCCAGTTCAGGTTCATTGATATGACTCTTACCTCAGTTCGTTTTTCCGCCGACTCTATTTTTGTTTTTCTTATCACGCTCGCTTTCTGTGCAGCTGATTTGAGAAGATTACCAAAACTCAATACCAGGTTCTCTGCTCCCTGCTCAACCAAGTTGTACTCTGAACCATAGTCTTCTTTCGTTTTGTTTTGCAATAGTGACGTCATCGACTGAAGAATTTCTAGAACAAGACTCTAACGTACAATAGTTGTAGAAGAAAACAAAAAAAAGAAGATAAAAGTTAAAGACTGATTTATATTTGCTTTTATTGATTGAGCCTTCCCGCCGATATACATACAAATGAATACGTAACCATTAGGTCGAAGGTTCGACTCATGTGGGAAGAGCACAGATTATTTCATCCGAGTCCCTCAGTGTAACCTGCTGAATAAACATCATTGTTAAATTCCTACCTGTGTATCAAATGTGACCTCCTTGGGGTCTAATGTCGCTCGTGCGATCACTGAAGTGACTTGTGTTAAGGACTGTAGATTGCCTGCTTCTACTCCAGAAACTTCTTTAACAACAGAATTTATGATCTGAAAATTAAGGCACACGCATATACATTAAAAAACAAACTAAGTGACCGAATTATAAAGTGATTATCTTGAACCATCGTATTATTGGGAACTATCCCATGCGATTTTTACAGGAAGAACTTTTAATGAGCAATTTACCTTTAAATGTTTTACTTAGTTTCTGCCTTTTTATGCATTGCAGTTCAGAAATTTTTGAAGCGTAAACGGGTAGAAAAAATGAGACACAAAACAAATGTAAAACAGTTCTGACCATACTATTCGCTAAATGTTTTTATTTACGCTAAGAGAACTACTTCACATACGGTGATTTTCTTCTGGGTTGTTGTGTTTCCTGACTGTTCAGCTTCTCGAAGCACAGCGTTTGCGAGCTGTGTAGCGCCCTTTATGTCTCCTGCTTGAATGAGCTGGGTAAACTGACTGCTGTTACCCACAGTGAGACCGCTGAGATCCTCGTTCGATGGCGCGGGTTTGACCTAAGGGCGTAATTCATATAACAAAACTTTCGACCTCCCAAATGTATATACCAACCTTAAAAACGTGTTTATTGCTGTAGCAAGTCCACATCAGCTTTCATGCTGACTATAATGATGTTGTGGAGATCTAGAAGCTGTAGAAAAGTCTTAGACTTTCAAAACAGCCCTTCGTCTGATTTATATGGCGCGGGACTTCGTCTTGCTTGGCCCCTTCACGGCCTAAAAAGCTCGCTCTGTTCGCTTAATGTGGCAAGTCCAGAAAGATCTAGCAACGGATAAGCTTCATGCTAAAAAGCTATTTGTCAACACTTTTGGGCTACTTCAGTGACAAACTATGTCTAACGACCTTTGTCTGCCACATCGAACTTTGGAGGAAACAAAAATAGTCAAAACCACAAGATTTTCTCATTGTCAACAACATTTGCAAAGCAAAAAATGGAGTCACTATACAGGGGAGAAATAGGAAAAGGGTTTTTTCGTGCTTGCCTTGACTTTGCAATAGATTTTCGCAGCTGCAGACAGAGTATCAGTTACTGTTATATTAAAATCGATTTCGTAGTCATTGTCTTCTTTGCCCGAAGGAAGAACCGTGGTCGCATTACTTTCAGATCCATGAGAAACCACGGTGTACAGACCCCTGTCGGTTTTATAGTGAAACTGGTATGTTAGTGGCGTGTTTTCGTCCTGTTGAGAGAATGAAGTTAATGAGTTTAACTTTTCCTCGCTTATCTCATCTAAAGCAGAGTAAACGTATGGAGAATTTAGCCTGATCTCGGAAAATACTTTTTGAACTTTTGGGTGAGTGTGTGCAGCTGGGACCTTGAAACCCTCGGTTTGTTCGCTCCTTCCCCTTCAATGTTGATATTTCAGACGGTTATGTCCAAACAAAGCCGTGAAACAGACATTGGGGGAAGGAGAGGGAACCAATGCATGTACTCGTGGAAACACTGATTATCTTGTGTTTTTTGGAAGTGATTCAACAAATTATGATCGCAATTGTAGGTACCAGAAATGATAACCCTTTTCCAGGGTCACTATTACCAGGAACTCTAATTCTTCCCACCACTAATCCATCTCCGATAAATGATACTCTATTTGGGACTGCCTTACCGATTTCTTAGAGTAGGCAACTAAACTGCTTGCAGTCAGCCTTTTCTATTGAGATCCGTCGGGGTCTTATCCCAGCCAGCGCGTTTGCAAAACAACGACCGATGATAATTAAAGTGGATTGGGATGAGACGTCCTTTTTTCCTGTGCCTGGCATGTATGTTTTAAGCGCACTACCCCAGTAAGTGAAACGAAAACTAAAATACACTGCTCGCTGTGTATTAAGCTACTTGTGTGCCACGCCAATCGCAAGCGGAATAGCTTATACAGGGCTCACATCATGCTCGCCCGAGGCCACTTCATGCTCGTCTTAGTTGATGATTTTGTTAGAGGATGACTTGCATGGAGCCTTATTAGGCAAGGTTAAAAGTTATTTTCCCAGAAAGAAAATCTACTTGTACTTGACTGCCGCACGGGACTTTTCGATGGTAGGGTAAGCAGACAGTTGCCTCTAAATAAACATTTTCTTACTTGCCAACCGGTGCATGTAACAGCAAACTTGGTAACCAATGCCTCTCCACTTTTCGGTGACACAGTGCACTCTCCATTTTGCGGTGGAGCGTTCATTTCAAACTGATAAGCGGCATTTCCTGCAGGCCCGTCCTCCGGTGAAGCCGTAACTTTTAATTGATAAGTTAACCCTCCGTTGAGCTGATTTGCCTTGATGCTGAGTCCAGGAAGATTGAGGTCACTTTGCGTCATATCACGTGTGAGACGTTCCACGTTGTCTTGACCACTTTGTGAATGTACAGTGACAAGTTGCCATTGATATGTGACATTGTCACAGGCGTTCCCTTCACAGGTGGTTGCCAGGCTGATTGGCGTTGACAGACTTGCAGGCTTTTCACAGTTGATGAGACACCTTCAAGGAAAAACATTTTCACGCCTGTGATACCTGCAAGCTATTTACTGTGAGAAGTGAGACTGGCTAAGAAGAATTTATTGTCGTGAGTGCTTCCTTTGTTACTTGAATACTGTATCTTAAAGAGAGTAGCTTTAAGGAGTTGAACCGTATTTAATGATACGTGATTGATAAAAGAATTTCAAATACGCTTAGTATTACGTTTTGTCCTTTAACTGGTATGACTGGTCTGGTCTTTATCCTGGGTCATACTTGAACATTACTGACAGAATTCGATACTTTTGTTGAAGAATATTACATCCCGTTTCATTCAATAGACAATTCTCTGAATTCTGGTAGTTCTATATCGCCCAAGGTGCGATCACCAAATGATCATTACGTAATACTAAAGATGGAGGAGTCCCTAAATAATACCGATTCCACAACACAATAACTAGTCAACATTTGTTTCTGCAACAACTAAAACTCCCACCTACAATTTTCTCCTAAGCTCAAATTAACGTACCCTAAAAATGATGTTAGTATGACAGGGAGGTGTAACCCACGGCTGCACTTTACCCTACGGCTTATCTCTGGAGCTTCGGAAAAATACCCACTCTAGGGTGTGGACTCCCAACCCCACCTGATCGGTACTCCAGCTAGGAGGGCCTCTTCCTGGTGCCCATTAGTTCCTTGTGACAAGGAGATATGGGCCTCACCACCTGGAGACTGATCAGGACTTCGGTCCAGGTTGGCTACCCACGGTACTTCGCGATCTCGTCTCTCCCCCAGTAGGGCTTCTCTCCTGGTCCCCTCTCCCCCCCCCCCCCCCCCCCATGGTGTCCGTCGCTGGCTTTTCCCTCTCGGAGAAAAGGGCCCTCCCCCCCGGGGCATTATCCGGGCTTTCGGCCCGGGTGGGCACCCCCCGGGCTTTCCGATCTCCTCTCCCCCCCCATAGGGGCTCTCCCCTGGTTCCCCCCCCCCCCCCCCCCCCCACCAAAATTTTGCCCATTATTTCTTGTGTGTTTTCAGTTTGGTATACGATATAGAACGGCATTGCGAAATCATCCACCGATCAGAGGAGATTATTAATAGGTAGAAATACAAAAACGTCAAGATAACACGCAGTTACGTCAATCACACGACCTTTAACCAGGAGTCTAACGAATGAGCCTGAAGACTGTTATATTTACCTGATAGTAATTTGGGGTGGATCACCTCTTACAATCTCAATTTCCTGGACAAAGAAGTTTTCCCGGTCATCCTTCGTCAAAATAAGTTTTACGTCATAACTTTCGCCCACGGACATTACTGTTGTTTCTAAATTCACTGTAATGTCACTGGAATTTAGTTTTCCAACACCCGTCCCAAAGCAGCCACCATTACCTGGACCCGAGGATAGTGTAACGACCGGGATTGAAGCTATTGAACGGTTAGGAAAGTTTTCGTCACGCTTTTTGCACAACCAAGTGAAGTGCATCGAAGAATGGTCATCAGGTTCGACATCTGGATCTCTTGATAGAGATCCGTCAAGTGTTATAAGGCTTCCTTTACCACGTGTAACTTTGTTTCCTCCTGATATTTCGACTATGAGCGGGGATTTTGTGATGTTAAAAAATCCCAGAGCACTGCCAAACGCTCGTGGGTGACTGGCAAACGCGGCCTTAAAATCCAGAAAATATTGTCCGTATTCAAGCTGCCTCTTTCTTAAGTTCCATTCAGTGCTTTTTGAATCCAATAAGGTTATCGTTTTGATGTCTAACTTTCCTGAAGAAACCACTTCATATCTGTATAAATACCATACAAATATAAGTGTTTGCGATGAGTTACAGCTTGACTTATCGACACTTGCTTGAACGATAAAATCCTTTGAGCGACGAATTGGTAGTGGACGTTGTTTGTCATTCATTCCCAACAAGCGGACATACGGTGGAAGGCAAGACACATCTGGAAAAGATAGGAACCGAAACGAAAGGGATTATCAACCAATCAATAGATAAGCCTTCTACCAAGCAAATGACCAATCTGTCAGCCATGGAAAATCAGAACGTTTCGCATGGTGGTGATTAATTGGATGGCAACCAAGTTGTAAGTTCTTAAACCTGGTTAAGGGTCTGTTCAGTGAAGTGTATTTAGACAAGTCCACTAAGGGCCTGTTTACATGGAGGTGGGGGACCCCAGATAGGTGAAGTGGCACGTGGCCGGTCACCCCGCCTGTCATGTAAACGTGATCAAATTAAAATGAGAGGTTATATGGACAGGTGGGTTACCTCTCCTATGGGGCCCCCACCTTCATGTAAACAGGCCCTTAATCCAACAAATAAATCTTAAATTTGTTCTTTATATCCACTGACCGTTATTTATGTAGAATCATTTCCAAAATTTAAAATTGATAAACCGATAAACAGATTTGGAAAATTTGCATGAGTCTAAAAGATGCCTTCAGTTTAAGCCTTTGCTCTCATATTTAAAAGACCTTACCTTAGTCAATATGAGAAGCAACCAAATATAAAAGCTCTAATTCCGTGTCGTCTTTGAATTTGATTGGTTGACCTTGGAATGACTTCCTATAGCCAGACCATCGTAAACTGCTTACGAACCGCTATTATCTGACTCCGCACGTCACTGCTCCCTTATTAGCTACATGGTTACTGAAATAGGTTTGATCCGGATTCAAAATATTTAATCTAGTAGGTTTTTCTTTTGTTGCCAAACCACTACACCAGGACCACTAGAGCTGCTGTCGAGGCAAAATTGCACCCAGTGACCGTCGGGCTAAAAAATGGCACTGTATATCATTACAATTTTAATGTATGGGTGGATTTGTGTGAGGATTGCGTCATGTACCAATTTCAACTTAATTATTAATGATATACTTGATGATGTGGCCGTTGAGAAGAACTGGATGTTGCTGTTATTTAGAGTTGGCCATTATATGGAAGTTTCAACAAAAGTAAATATGTTTCGACTTGTGGCTGGAACACGCTTTCATGGCCCTCGTTCTGTAGAGATGATTGTCAATGTATATCCGTTTTACCTTCTCAAACCTTCAGAAAATTGCAAAGCCTCATACGATCTGTATGATGTGGTAATAGCTACTTCGGAGGTTCATCGTAGCCCCATCAGGACAAAAACTGTGTTTTCAGTGATCAAAGTATACTAAGATACCTAATTACCTTCAAAACCCCAGTAACTTGCAGTCCAAGGAACATTTCCTAACCTTCCCGACTGGTTGAACGAGGCAAGTTTTTGTTCTACTATAGTTACGTTTTTCTCTTCTGGTATTGTTAAGGCAGCAGTAACCTCCACACTTCCTGGCCTATAAATAAATGAATAAAGTGAAACTACTCGTCAACAAATCCATGTGAAGTTTGGTGAGGTTTGTTGGTCTTCCGAGGCTATTCTGTTTATTCCTTGTACTCTAATACATAGTTACGTTGATGGAGAAGGTAAGTGACAGGTCCCAGGGCCGGGTGATAAATACGCTTTAAGCGTCACTGATGCTAGCAGTGACACGTATCACTCTAAGGGCGGGCCGGTTATTTGAATGGAGTCTTACTTAGCCGCAATTTAAGGCAAGCGTTGGAACTCCATTTGTGTTTACAAATGAGTTATTTCATGCGGAAAATGCTGTTCTATTGTGCTCTTTGTGCTTTCTTGAACCTTCTATTTACTATAAGCAATGTTCATTTATTACGGTTGGCGAGGCTGATAATGGATTAGAACAAGAGTTTGTTTAAAACTATTTAGACTTTAGTCTCTCGGCGGCTCAGTGGATAGGGCGCCCACCCGGTGTATGGGAGGTCATAGGATTGAATCCCTTGGAAGGAATCCTGTTTTTTTCTTTGTCTCTCTTTCGTGATAGGACGATAATTACGTCTGTCTCTAGAGAACAGTAAGTTAACACTGGTACCTAGTCCACGCCTTGGCCAATCTAAGACACAACCAACCCGGACAACATACCGTAAGAAAAGGATTTTGACTTCTGTCACATGTGGCGAAAGGTTTGACTTGAGCTGCAATCAAGAGATGAGCATTAATTGCATTATGATACAGGTTTCAGCAGGTCTTGTTCCACGTATAGCGGTAGTCCATGCGAGAATGATGGAATGAAAAGATTTGTGGCTGAACGATATCTAACCACATCAAGGATCGTTCAGTGATTAGAAATAGAACCCAAACAGCAGTTATAAACGTACTTACACATTTTATATAAAATTGACGTTTCTTATGCTAGTCGACATACATTTTCACACAGTCAGATACCACTTATCTCAAAAAAATCTTAGTGTCCCTCACTTTCTATTCTCAAATTCTGATGAGCATATTTAGTCGCCTTTTAAGGGCGTTACCTGATTACTGATGGATGTTTCAAACGAGAGATAAGTTGAGGAGGACGCATCTAAAAGTTGGAGCTTGAAACTTTCGTTTTTCCATAGACATACAAGCCGAAGTGGTGCTATAAGGAAATGGAAAAAAAAAATCGATATTTTCTACAACAGTCATTACGTTCCTTAATATTTTTTTCCCCTTGGAAGATAGTGACGGAGGTAATAATGAAAGTCGTTTTTAGGAGTCCTCTCATACCCGCTTTGGTTACTTTTAGGGGTTCATTTCAGGAGTACCTTAGGTTATGAATTTTCAGCAACCTTTATACAAGAGCTCCTATGCCCCGGTTCTCGTATTTTGATGGACTTTACCTACACCCTGTTCCTAATAAAGGATAAACTATACATTCTCTGCACAAGTTGTTCGAGCAGCCAAATTTGTGCATTATCGTTCAGGTGTAAATACACAATAGGAAACTGTAATGAAGACTCTGTAGGTATACATACAGAAGGATTTGCGGGTAATATAGAGCTGTGTTCATTTGAAGAGCGATAGGAACTTAGTTGTGTGGGGCTAGGCCAGGCTTCAAAGCTACGGTGGATAGATTTGGAGCGAGGTTTACAGCATGACTTATTTATGGCCTGGACTACAGACAAAGTATATAGTAACTGGATAATTTATTGTTACTTTAGTTCGTGGGTTTTTAATTTCGCGTTTTTCGCGATTGTAAAAAAAGTCGCGACATTAATGATCCGTGAATAAAAATCTTCGCGAAATTGAATACCCATAGAAAAATTTAAATCCCAGAAAAATGATTAGTATGTATAACAACAACATATACAGGATATTTATCGACAAATACCCATATTTTTAACTGATTTTACTGGTAAACTGCATTTTGTATCTTCTGTTGTGAAATAACTTTGCAAAGATTTCAGTTTCATTTCATTTTCATTTTCATTTTCGTCTGTTTGGCTACAAAAAAATAAAAAGGCGTTTTGCTCATTCCAGTTTATCTAGAAATTTTTAAATGATCAGACTTTTTGAAAAATATACTCAAGTTAAGATTGCTTGAATCGCGAAATTAATGCCCTTTTTCATATTTACCCGATTAAATCGCTAAAATAAAACCTGTGAAACACTGTATCACCAAAAACTCGAAAACAGTATCACAAAGAAAACAGTCATCATGGAAGAGAAGAGTAAAAATAGTAAGTTTCATTGTGCGATGGCTAAATTCAGCATTTTGTACAAACTTAAAAGTACCTGTATCTGAACGGGGAGGCAGTGGTAGTGGTAGTGCGGGTTTCATTGGTGCTTGAGTTGAATTGGTCACTGGTGATAGTGTCGTTGCTGCCTGAATTGAATTGGTCACTGGTGATAGTGTCGTTGGAACCTGAGTTGAATTGGTCACTGGTGATAGTGTCGTTGGAACCTGAGTTGAATTGGTCACTGGTGATAGTGTCGTTGGAACCTGAGTTGAATTGGTCACTGGTGATAGTGTTGTTGGAACCTGAGTTGAATTGGTTACTGGTGATAGTGTCATTGGAACCTGAGTTGAATTGGTCACTGATGAAAGTGTTGTTGGAGCCTGGGTTGAATTGGTTACTGGTGAGGGTCCCGTTGGTGCCTGAGTTGAATTGGTCATTGGTGAGAGTGTCGTTGGAGCCTGAGTTGAATTGGTTACTGGCGAGGGTCCTGTTGGTGACTGAGTTGAATTGGTCATTAATGAGAGTGTCGTTGGTGCCTGAGTTGAATTGGTCACTGATGAGAGTGTCGTTGGAGCCTGAGTTGAATTGGTTACGGGCAAGGGTCCCGTTGGTGACTGAGTTGAATTGGTCATTGGTGAGAGTGTCGTTGGAGCCTGAGTATAATTGGTTACTGGTGATAGTGTCGTTGCTGCCTGAGTTGAATTGGTTACTGGCGATAGTGTCGTTGGAGACTGAGTTGAATTGGTTACGGGCAAGGGTCCCGTTGGTGACTGAGTTGAATTGGTCATTGGTGAGAGTGTCGTTGGAGCCTGAGTATAATTGGTTACAGGTGATGGTGTCGTTGCTGCCTGAGTTGAATTGGTTACTGGCGAGGGCCCAGTTGGTGACTGAGTTGAATTGGTCATTGGTGAGAGTGTCGTTGGAGCCTGAGTTGAATTGGTTACTGGCGTGGGTCCTGTTGGTGACTGAGTTGAATTGGTCATTGATGAGAGTGTCGTTGGTGCCTGAGTTGAATTGGTTACGGGCGAGGGTCCCGTTGGTGACTGAGTTGAATTGGTCACTGATGAGAGTGTCGTTGGAGCCTGAGTTGAATTGGTCACTGATGAGAGTGTCGTTGGAGCCTGAGTTGAATTGGTTACGGGCGAGGGTCCCGTTGGTGACTGAGTTGAATTGGTCACTGATGAAAGTGTCGTTGGTGTCTGAGTTGAATTGGTCACTGATGAGAGTGTCGTTGGAGCCTGAGTTGAATTGGTTACGGGCGAGGGTCCCGTTGGTGACTGAGTTAAATTGATCATTGGTGAGAGTGTCGTTGGAGCCTGAGTATAATTGGTTACTGGTGATAGTGTCGTTGCTGCCTGAGTTGAATTGGTTACCGGTGATAGTATCGTTGGAGCCTGAGTTGAATTGTTTACTGGTGAGGGTCCCATTGGTGACTGAGTTGAATTGGTCATTGGAGTGAGTGTCGTTGGAGCCTGAGTTAAATTGGTCACTGGTGATAGTGTCGTTGGAGCTTGAGTTGAATTGGTCACTGGTGATAGTGTCGTTGGAACCCAAGTTGAATTAGTCACTGATGAAAGTGTTGTTGGAGCCTGGGTTGAATTGGTTACTGGTGAGGGTCCCGTTGGTGCCTGAGTTGAATTGGTCATTGGTGAGAGTGTCGTTGGAGCCTGAGTTGAATTGGTTACTGGCGTGGGTCCTGTTGGTGACTGAGTTGAATTGGTCATTGATGAGAGTGTCGTTGGTGCCTGAGTTGAATTGGTTACGGGCGAGGGTCCCGTTGGTGACTGAGTTGAATTGGTCACTGATGAGAGTGTCGTTGGAGCCTGAGTTGAATTGGTCACTGATGAGAGTGTCGTTGGAGCCTGAGTTGAATTGGTTACGGGCGAGGGTCCCGTTGGTGACTGAGTTGAATTGGTCACTGATGAAAGTGTCGTTGGTGTCTGAGTTGAATTGGTCACTGATGAGAGTGTCGTTGGAGCCTGAGTTGAATTGGTTACGGGCGAGGGTCCCGTTGGTGACTGAGTTAAATTGATCATTGGTGAGAGTGTCGTTGGAGCCTGAGTATAATTGGTTACTGGTGATAGTGTCGTTGCTGCCTGAGTTGAATTGGTTACCGGTGATAGTATCGTTGGAGCCTGAGTTGAATTGTTTACTGGTGAGGGTCCCATTGGTGACTGAGTTGAATTGGTCATTGGAGTGAGTGTCGTTGGAGCCTGAGTTAAATTGGTCACTGGTGATAGTGTCGTTGGAGCTTGAGTTGAATTGGTCACTGGTGATAGTGTCGTTGGAACCCAAGTTGAATTAGTCACTGATGAAAGTGTTGTTGGAGCCTGGGTTGAATTGGTTACTGGTGAGGGTCCCGTTGGTGCCTGAGTTGAATTGGTCATTGGTGAGAGTGTCGTTGGAGCCTGAGTTGAATTGGTTACTGGCGAGGGTCCAGTTGGTGACTGAGTTGAATTGGTCATTGGAGAGAGTGTCGTTGGAGCCTGAGTGTAATTGGTTACTGGTGATAGTGTCGTTGGAGCCTGAGTTGAGTTGGTTACTGGTGATAGTGTTGTTGGAGGCTGATTTGAATTGGTTACTGGTGATAGTGTCGTTGGAGCCTGAGTTAAATTGGTCACTGATGAGGGTGTTGGAGCCTGAGTTGAATTGGTTACTGGTGAGGGTGCCGTTGGAGGCTGAGTTGCATTGGTCACTGATGAGTGTGTCATTGGAGCCTGAGATGAATAGGTCACTGGTAGGATTACCGTTGGAATCTTAATCGAATTAGTCATTGGCGAGGGTGTCGTTGGAGCCTGAGTTGAAGTGGTCGTTTTTGGAAGTGTCACTAGAGGCCGGGTTGAGTTAGTAAAGAGAGCGTTGGTCGTTGATGCCTGATTTAGATTGGTGAAAGTCGAGAAAGTTAAAAAAAGCATAAGAGGTGGATATTTGATACAATGAAGGTTATAGTGGACCAACCCTCCACGTAGATGAAGCATTGTTTGCTTGAAACTAAGTAACAGGGGTCACCAAAGAAGCCTGTGGGAAAAGAAAGAGAATGTGTGTTAAACTAAACGCATAATCAAATCTCTCGTCCCAAACCCCTTTTAGTTTCAGTTATTCAAATTCTCCAATCCATTGTTCTGAGAATGGAACGGAAACGAAATTTACTTTGTTTAAAAAGATTGAAGTTAGCAAAGTAGATCATAAGGAAGCGTTGTGGGGCCTTGCACTGATGTATGTGGTTTAGATTGAGGCATTGCTTTAACTGATTTAATCTTTATGATAACTCGGAGAAACAGCTGCGGAACAGTTCACTATTGGCACTGATTGCAGAGTTTAGTTAGCAATCGAATTGAGTACCTCTGTCCTTAAAGTAAAAGATAAGTTTCACTTCTTAAAATTAGGCGAAAGGCAATACTCAAATGGAGATGCATTTAATGTACCTTTAATTTTGGTGAATGTCAGTCAAATTTAACAGACGTCGATTTTGCTGGTTAATGATTGTAGATACCTGTTTATGTTATGTTTTTCACACCAGTTAAGAGTGTGATCGACCTAGCGATTTTCGTGATGGTTGACATAGTGTTATAAGGTAGTATTTATGGGCCAAGTGCTAGACTGAGTTGCAAAACCTGTAATTTTCAGGAATTTGCTGGGAGTATCTTAAATTAAAACAAAATGACTCCGGCAAACCACTGATAGGTCAAGATTTAGCCAATAGAATAATGGTTATTTAAGTCTTTACAGGAAAAATCTTGCATTTAAAAAACAGTTTCAACTTACTGAATCATCGCTCGGTGTTGTTGAATACCCTTTGTCGTTTGAACTTGCTTCAGATAGCTTTGAGTAATTAAGGACGCGCTCTTGTCTGAAGCACCAGATACCTTCAACAAAAGAACAAAATAACGAAAATTGCCTCAGAACCAGCCAATCTATAATTCTGGGTTAATCTGATCTTGAGACCCAAGATATCTTAATCAAAACTCTATTAATCAAAACTGGAAGACAATAATCCTTTTGACTTCTACGACTTTCACGTCCACATTTTTGCTATTACTGCTTTGTTTCTGAAGTGATGTTGCCAGTGTCGAGTTTTTTCAACAAAAAAAATTATAAGCGAGCCTCACTCAATTTTTCATTAAAACATTTAAAGTGCGAGTTTAATTAACTGTTATAAATTCACCAATCTTTGTAAATCAATTCAGGACAAACACATCAACCTTGGCCAAAATGATGTTTGCTTTTTCCTGAAATGTTGATAATAATCAGAGAAATTATGTCTATTTGCTCTATTGTCTGTTGAGGTCTGTTAATAACTAACGACGAGGTTTGCTCAGTTTGAAACTGCAAGGTGCGAAATCACTTCTTAGAAATAATCGCTCCATGTTAAAATAATAACATTGAAACTACCACTTGACTCCGACGGCAACATAAAGATTAAATATTTCTATGAATATAAATCAAGGAAAGGCCACTCAGCGGATGCAATAGAAGCATAATTCAAAGTAGATTATCGATAAATAGTGGGCCATAAACTTTATTTATCCACAATGTTCAACGTTAGTAAAAGGGTATTATAATTTTCTTTTTAATTTTTGTTGAAATTTTTCACAGCAGCTAAATAAATAAATAAGGCGTTATTTTGTTGTAAAGTGGACCTAATGAATGTCTATTTTAAGGTATGCAATCAGATGCGTGCGGGCGTGATTAAAAGTTTACTTTAATTATCAAGGAAATTATGTAATGAGAGATTGAAGTCGCGTAGAAATTGAGCAAAACAAATTACGCAGGAAAAAATAGCAATTCTCAAGGCTTAAAAACCGGGAGTGAATAAACGGTTTCGGGCATTTTGACTGAAAATAGTCCGCTCAAAACTATAGCAGGACAAGTAAATAAGGCTTATCGGAGGCATCTAAATGTCTCTCTTTGTAGACATATTGAGTGGTTTTTCTCCTAGATGGACTGTGTACTTGTTGCTCTTGAAAAACGTGTTCATTTTATGGTTTTTTGTGTTCGGTAGAGTTCTCTTAACTTGATTTGCTTGTCACAAATGAAGCTATCTCGAAAACACGCCCATCACTAACAATCACTCAAGAACTCAAATCAACTTACAAATACCGCTTTCAAACAATACTTTAATATTTGAGGGCTGAACTACACTCTATACTCAGTCTGCTTAAATTAGGCAGATCCACAGCATTAAATGATTGATTTTAAGCGAATTCAGGTGATTTTCAGTACTGCAATTTTTCGGAGCTCACTATGGCTTCAGCTGCAAATTGTTAGGCTAATTTTGTTTCAAGTTTCACAAGAGTCAAAGCAATACATAACCATACTCGATTTTTGTAATGTTTTTATCGCTACAAATAGAACATTGGGGTTCTCCCATTTTTTGCTCTTTTATCCTCCTTCCTTCGGCAACTTTCCCAGGTTCTTTGATGTAAACTTGGAACTAGTTTACAAGGGGGGGAATACTTAAAGTCTTCAAAAGAAACTAGAGTGCTTTGTTGTTAAGGAAGTGAAACTACTTGCAAAAATATAGTTGTATCTGCTGAGTAAAAAAGGTCAAATGAATAACGGTCAGGTTTTCTTCATCGCCACGCATGCGACAATGAAAATGTGCAAAATAAAAGAAAGCACTAAAATCAGTACGTGGAAATTGAGAGCCGATGAGCACACGCAGTAGGTAGTGCACATCCTTTGTTTGACTAACGCACATTCTCGTCCCTAGAGTCCGTCGTTTCTTTTGGTCACTTGAGCTTGAAACGAGGGTCCCTAACAAATTAAGACGAGTGGCTCTGCCCGGCTGCTCTTATTGATTGCGCGTCAGTTTAACTAACTTGTCTACGTAAATTTAAAATAATTAGGAGAAAATCGAAGAAGGAGGTGAGCGCGTGTGAAACTAGAGAAAGGCCATTTTGGTGAAGAAAAACGAGAAAATTACGAAAGACAGAACTGATAATTGTTATCTTTTCTCCGATGAACTGCATTGGAAAACGGGTCTGATTGTAAGGAGGTCAAATTGGCTGGATGTTGTCAAAGTTCTTTTCTGCTTTTTCTTACGGACTGACACGAAGTCGAGGTTAATAAAATTAAAAACGCAAAAAAGAACAAAAAAAGGCCAAAAAAAGAATTTTGTCATGCGGCATGAACGCAGGAAATCAGGATTCGTTTCATCTTGCCCACTCTTGGATTCAGCCATATAATAATGGTTCTTAGAAAAATTTGGTATAAAATTGTCCATTTCTGAGTCTATTTATCTATCCTCTACAGATGTCACTTGTTTGCTTGAGAACAGATAAAAGGTCGGTGGTCTTTTAAGACATATTATTTGAAAAATAATTCAAAATAATCTCGACGGTTACATTTATATATTCTTCAGATAGAAACTTTTCTTCCCCAGCGTTTGTTCTCTCAAATTATGACGAAAATTATGAGAAGTTGCGACTAACTGGTACGCGATGGTTAGAGCGCTGCACCAAGATCACAGAGGTTAGGGTTCGAATCCCGGCATGTTTGAAATTTTTCAGGCTTTCTTTTGGCAACTACGTCAGTAAGTTGCTTCCCTGAACTGCGATGATCTTCTTTCTCCGAGGTTCCAATACATGATAATCATACGGACATATTCATCATTTCATCTTTATCTTTCAATTCCCTGATACCGGTATATTACGAACCAATTTCAGAACAAACTAGCTAGTTGAATTTTTTCCGGCTTTCTTTTTGCTTTCGCAACTGCATATGATGATGATCTCATGTTCTTTGCATTTATTTCTTCATTCCGTGGTTCAGGTATATGAAGTTCATATATTCATCAGAAAGGCAACAATCTGTCAAATCATAGATCTATCTAAAGATGATTTAATGTTAAGAAAATAATGTGTGATAATTTTCGACCATGCAATCCTCCTCTATCACGCTGGTGGAAACATTACATTAAGAAGCTCCGTGCAGCCAGAATACTTTTCAATAATTTAACAATTCTTTGCTCTTGGAAAATAAATATCCTGTTTGACAAACCGCATGTATTACGTAAAAACTAACTGTTCTTTTTTGATTTAAAAAAAAAACGTTTTTATGAGGACCTCAAGGCTAAGAATAAAAAGGAGTCATGGGAAGATTGGGGGTGGAAGCTGAATAATAAGCAATAATGAATGACATGAATTACGGATTTGCACTTACAGAGCAAAAATGAAAATTTGGAATAATGAATTGCACAGTCTAGCTAACGGAATAATATATAATTTTAATTACAGTTCCAAGGGAAAAGGTAGAAGTAAATCTAGATCTGAGGAAGAGCGAAAATGTCTTTATTTTTATTCAGTTGCTGTGGGTGCGAAAATGACTTCACCACTTGCACGTAATCCGCAAACAAAAACTTGTAAATATAAATGCATTATTTTCCTTTGGTCAGTTCGATAGAACGCAATCAACTTTGAGGTGGGTTGTCAGGTTTTACGGCCATTTAGCCATCGTTTTTGAAATGTTCAGCCTCCCACCCAAAGCTCTAATCTGTTCGGGGTCCAACTCTACCAGCTGCCTCCATGAATGACAGAGGCAATTGGCCCTCATGACTTTGAACTTGAAAAAAAAAATTGTTCCTGTGTAACGCCAGCAAAGAAATGTAGACAAAAGTGTGATGCACGTGCAGAGCTGTTGTTTTGCCAATCTAAACCTATTGCTTTTTTGCCAATCTCGTTGGCGTCGCCTTCGTTGTTGCTTAAGCTTCCTAATAGATGGTAGTGGTCAGTGAGTAGTCACGTGCCACGGTAGCAGCGATCGCGTACGTGTT